CAAGTTATAAATTCGGGCACCGCCGGGAATTTAGTGAATTGATTTATGAAATTTAATATTGGTAAAACTGAGTGCGTAAATTTCCCAATTAGGAGAGCGAACGTTTTGATTTATGAAGGCGCGTGGCGCTATGTTGATCAGTAGATTCGAAAAGTGAAAGACTTTCAGTGAAAAAGAAATCACGAAATTTTTACACTGCTTTATCAAGTTTTTTTTTTGTATCCAGTGTTTTAACTGTCTGCCCCGAAGTTTTTATGAGCAGAATTGTAAGTGGTAGGTTACATTTTATTGTTTCAATGACAATACGAATTTCAATGAGAACAGAAGTTACTGTTACACTGACGTCATCTTCTCGAAGTTCATGCAAAACTTATGTAATATAGAGTCTACGCCGAGACAAGAGATTTCCCTGGTTGAATCTGTGGACACCTTAATAAAGATTTACTGTCTTGTAATGTCCCGTCTGAGGGATGAAACGAGAATTAAATTTTATTTGTAAGTTACTAGTACACTTCGTGAATCAAAATTATGTGTTTCTGTAAATATAATCGTCGAGTCTATGGTCAAATTTAAATACGGTGCTCTTAAATCGGAATTACGGTAGATAATATAAAAGAATTATCTGCTTTTCTCAGGCTTGTAACCTCACAAATCCATCAAAAATAATTCAATGATAATATGAATAATGATAATGACTATTACCTTTGGTTGTTACCAAAAAATTTTTAATAGACTGCGTGAGCCTTCGAACATAACAATCACTTTCTTATATTTTGATTTCGAAGTGATTTTGCTATGATTTATACACGGAATTTACGATACATATATTTTAAAATAATGTAACAAATGTTTAATTTTAATAAGTAAGCCTTTTTGATGCGAAAAAAAATGACTTACACTTCAAAATTACAGCCTCATGGTAAGTCATTTATATTTAGAAGTGTTCTTATTCAACGTATTATCAGGTATTGGTATCTGTGTTCAACGGACGTCTGTCATAAATCATTGTACTTTATGGAACGCCATGGCAACAAATACAATGAAAAATGTTGGAATGACTGAAATTGTGAAGCCAGGTGCAGGCTTGTATCACTTTCGTTATCGGACTTAGAAATTAATTTTAATTGCTGGACAGTGTCTACATGGACGATGTTCGTGTCGTAATCATTTTCTTTGCATAATAGAGTAACGGTATAATAATCATCCACTCTCAAAAAGTAGATCGTATACTCGATTGTCAAAGAATAGTCCACTTTAATTTCGGAACCCGTGTTCTAACATTCGCGTTGGATACTTGTATATAAAATTTCAAATAACCGCATGAAGAGTGAACATGTTTACAAACGTGCGTTGTTTTTTCCTTCCATAATATTTGCAACATATCTAAACAGACCAATGTGTATTTACATTAATTATATCCTTGTATTGATAGAACGTACCTTCAGATGCATTAAAGGCGATACTGAATCATGTTCTAGATATTGCAAATTTTTTTAGCAACAAATAGTACACAACTGTTCAAAACATTTTCCGCATTTTAAGGAACCCAGCAGTTCATCACCTTGTTTACAAAAGCTGGCCACGTGTCCCTATCCTGAGCCAGGTGAATTTATTGTAAGCATTCCCACGTGAATATTTGTCTTCTGAGTTGTAATCTATTGTGGACTTCTAATTAGATATCAAAGTTTCTGAGGAATATATAGTCTCCATCTTCAGGGCTGAAAATCTAACTTCTGGCATCTACGAGTTCACGTGGGGTTTACAATCCAGGGCATGAACACTGACGTCTACATCGTAATGATAAACCAAAATCTTAAATACCCCTCAGTTTTTATTTCAGATTCATTTAAATATTACGTTCTGGTTTATTTCTTAGATCTTATAATTCGCCTGTTGTTATTTATTTTTACAATTATATTTGGCGTCATTGGATTAGTTTATATTTCATAAGATTATCATTGATTTGATCAGTCTGTTATATTTGGTGAAGAGGATGCATTATGAAGTTCTTAATTATGATTAGTTTTTCTCAGTATCCTGTACTGAAACATGTTAAATCTATGCCGATCTGTCAATATTAAAAATGAAAGTTCACATCTGCATAGAGTAACAGTGAATGTAAGTTTCGTGTACTTTAATACTGACGTTTCAGACTTTGTACCAAAAATATCCTGGACTAAATGATAATAATCATTCTCCGAATTTATTCTTTCCGTGAAAATGGTCTAATTTTCGTTTGTCACTGCTGACCCGAAATATTTAAACTCTACCATATTTTCGAAAAATTTGTTCGTACTTCTAAAATAGATCCTAAATAAGAATCATCATAAAATATTAGGCCTATATTTGGTGGTTAGACGCACGGACAGACACGAATTTCTTATTACAGACTGGAACTTGAAAATTCATTTAATTAATTTTAATAAATCAGCACATATTTTTATTAATTACATTTTATTTCCGCATTGTACATAAAATGAACGCTGAAGGAGCTGGACATATCTGTTTGTCTGCCAGTCAGCGTGATTGAAATCGAGAACCGCTTAGCGGATTTTTATTAAATTTGGTATGAACGTCATGCCACTTAGTACTACCCTAGAAAACATACTTTATATATTCTACGATCGGTATTACAAACATGGTGAGAGAACAAATTTTTGAGGTGGGTTTGACGTTAGCGTCAATTGTTGATGTACGATATTAGATTTTTTTGAAAATACTAAATTTTTATTTTTTGTGAAATAAAGGCATGATGGCTTCACGAAACAAAATATTAAATTTACACTTTAACGGGATTCGATTCTGTGACTCGATGCGTGTGAGTCCAGTTCAAAGATAATGCTCTTTATGACATGTAACCACTCATTTTAATTACTTAAATGAGACAGATATATAACATGTTTATACAACTGGAAAGTTAACTTTTTTAAGCATGATAACTGGCGTGTATTCCATTAACAACCAGCATTGTTATGAATTCTTGAGTTCGTATTTAAAACGCAGATAAGAGCTAAGGTTATTAAACATGGCTTATATATATGATACATCCTGAATGTATACTCCCGAAACGTCGTAATACCCATTTATGAAATACATAAATTTAATAATTCTTATTGAACTTTTAAAATACGACTAATACCATCTTGAGATACATAAGTTTCAATTGAAGACTCTCCGAATTCTTAATTTTATTTAAACACTAGTTTGTGTGTTATCGCCGTATACGCGTTCGTGTTATATGTAAAAGAGAGCTGATAAGCTTAAAATCGTAAAAGAGGTCGAAGGAATTGTCGGCCAAATAGAGCGAACCGCTAAGTCAGCAGACAGGGAAATATTTTGCCCTGATGCTATTGATTTCCCTGCATCACAGCTGTGCGTGAATGGTGTCATAGTCGCTAGGCGCCGTCCCGAAATAAACGCACGCAAAACATTTTCACTAGAGACAATAGGACAATCTTAATTTCCAATAGGCAATACAAGAACATCGAGAGAATTATTAGAAGGGTTTAGGATTTTCATTGAATGTAGAAGCAATTCTGCGAAGAATCTACGATAAACACATTTCTTCTAAACTTCAAATTACAGTGGAAATACTAGTAGGAATTTTAAGTTGATAATTTTTACAATTTAGCTACACGCTGTTATTCACAATTTCCACCAGCACAAACTCTGATTATGTTACATTTAGAAGATATAATCTAAATGCTTTGCGTTATCGCCATGTTGGCAGATCGAACAAGTATTTCACTTACGTGATCACTTCAGAGAACATTCTATAGTACTCTAAGTTTGAATACATTTCTCATTTTTTGACGTGCATTTAGAAAAAATTATAAAATTTCACTTTTGAAAATTTAAATGTCTTTAGTGGAACGGAGAGGTTACGAAGCAGTATTTATCCTATAATTACTATCCCAACATCGCTCTAAGACCGATCCAGTTAACTTGGAGAACAGTATTGAGGTTATGAACTTCTGATACCGAATACTTTACTGTTACAAAATGTAAAATAGATTTGGTATGAGAATATAATGACGTATTTTAATTAGTTTGGACTTGATAATACACTTGGATAATGTCAGTTTACTGCGAAACAATCTAGAAGTATGGTGAAATATTAATTTGAAACTCAAGGTAAATTGAAGGAGATTGTCTTCTGCGTTTTAGCGCTCTGAAGTCTGATGGAAGTTTACCGACGTTTCAGAGGTCCTTGCTGTCTTGTTGTAACCCATACGACAGTCATATTTATACTCACCGTCTTGAAAACCTCAAATCCTACAAACTGAATTATGTTTTAGATAAATTTGTAGATATAGTTTAAAAAATAATATATTAGAGAGATGTGTATCTTATTGAAACGTCCGAAGCCAGGTGTATTTTTAAATATTCAATCAAGTGCCTCGATTAAAATTGTACGAACTTCGTCTCATACAGAAACATGACTTAGGTTCACGTTTTAATCACATTTCCTGCAATGTTTCCGGATTGGTGGGATTTCTTAAAATGTCAAGTCGGGACGACTTCCTGTGATTGGCTGGGCTTAACAGGCGAAGTTCACTTCTGGCTTCGGTTTTGCGTCATGTTCTGTATCAGTTAGAAATGGTCTTGCATAAATTGAATTAATATTGGTCTGACTTATTCGTGGTTGAATTTTAGAATGGTTTGTCAAGGCATTAAGTTAAAAGAAAAGTTTTAATTTTTTTTTTTCGATTGGCTGAAGCCTGAGAATAATTCTGTTTTGCGACCCTCGCCGACAGTTTATAAACTGCACATTTGGGTTTGGTACTGAAATTTAGTAATTAAACAATATAAATCCGACTTCATATGGATGGGTAGAAATACGTCTGGATTCTACCCGAAGACCTGGCGATAACATTAATGTGGTATTGTTCTATAGCCGGAGAAGTCATAATTTCTTATAGTATTTTGTGTTTAGGGAGAAAGATAAATGTGTATACATGATAAAAATATACCTGTTGTTTTTCTTATTTTGGTTGCAGCGGATAGCAGTTTCCTGTTGGCCAATGCTCAGATTGTCGACTTCCCCATCGTTTACTGTAATGAGTCTTTCTGCAAGATCTCGGGATACAATCGCGCTGAGGTAAGTCACAGCCTAACCTAACCTTACCAAACTTAACCTAACCTAACCTAACCTAACCTAACCTAACCTAACCTTACCGAACTTAACCTAACCTAACTTAACCTAACCTAAC